TTAATTTGGAAAAAATAGTCTTTTAAACAAATGTTGCTCAGAGAGCAGGACATTCATTTAATGCACAAAATGAACTCAAAGTGCATCACAAAATTAAATATATTAAAATATTTGGGAAAATAACAATGTAAATCTGCATGACTTGCGCTTAGAGCCTCTTAAAAGGAACACAAAATGAATGCTTGAGAACACATATAGATAAAATGGAATTCATGAAAATGAAAAACTTTGTGCTTTAAAATACATTACTAAAAAGTAAAAGTAGGCTGGCTCCGTGGCTCACTAGGCTAATCCTCCGCCTTGTGGCGCCGGCACACCGGGTTCTAGTCACAGTTGGGGCGCTGGATTCTGTCCTGTTTGCCCCTCTTCCAGGCCAGCTCTCTGCTGTGGCCAGGGAGTGCAGTGGAGGATGGTCCCCGTACTTGGGCCCTGCGCCCCATGGGAGACCAGGATAAGCACCTGGCTCCTGCCATCAGATCAGCGTGGTGCCGCGGCAGCCATTGGAGGGTGAACCAATGGCAAAGGAAGACCTTTCTCTCTCTCTCTCTCTCTCTCTCTCTCTCACTGTCCACTCTGCCTGTCAAAAAAAAAGTAAAAGTAATAAGACAACCCAAGGTACAGTTGAAGCTATTTGTAAATCGTAAGTCTGATGATAGACTTATTTCCCAGTTATAGAAATAGTGCTTATAAATCAAGGAAAAGATAGTAACCAAGCTTCAAAACTTGGTAAAGAATCTCTTCTTAGTCTGTACTTACTGCTGTAACATAACCCCATGGACTTCCTGGATTATAAACATTTATTACTCACATCCCTGGATAGCAGCAAGTCCAAGATCAAGACATCATGAGACTAGTGCTGACTCTATGTACAGCCAGCTTCTCACCATGTCTTATAGGAGAAGGGCTGAGGGAGCTCTTGAGGGTCCCTTTATAGAGCACTAATCCCACTCATGATTGCTCCTACCCTAATGATGTAATAACTTACCAAATGCCCACTTTGTATGCCCCTCGTATTGTGGTTAGGGAATGGATCACCCATGGAGCAACAAGGACAGTATAGCAGTACACCACCGGAGACTGCCATGGCCAGTGGGCAAATGCCACGTTCCCACAGTGAGCTGAGAAGAGGCTGCAGAAGCCCACACGTCACTGAGAATTTTGGAGGAGGGAGAGCTCTGTAGTCCCTGTGAACTGTGAATCCGGCCACGAGAACTGGCAGCAGCCCAGGCAGCCACGTAGCTCCATGAAGGAAGGCCACATTGTTTCCCTCCTTTCTCCCAGCAAAGCTCATGGCAGCCAACAGGGAAACGCCATTTTCCCAGATTAAGGTGAGTGGAGGCTGCAACAACCTCTGTGGCCTTGCTGATTTATCTGAGGGGGAACTACATGGTCCCCACTGACTGTGAGTCCCGCCTAGAAATACTGTGGCAGGGGTTGGGAGATTGACTTAGCTGTGGGAAGAGAGGCCACACTGCCTCCTTCCCCTCCCTCCACCAAAGCACCAGGTTCAACTTGCTGAGTCAGAGCCACAGCCAATCTTTGTCATGCTAGAGGCTTGCTCTGCGCATGGGAGAACTTGCAGGGGAGGGGATGAATAGTCCAAGCCCTACAGGAAAAACACTGTCAACCCTGCGTTGCATATGCATCACCCTCATTTAAAATGAAAGGGGAAAAAGAAGCTCCCGAATCATATGAAATTTGAAAGGACCACCTGGAAAGCCTTATAAATGACATGGAAGGTCATACTACAAAAAACACAGAAACAGAAATAGGCAAATACATCATTAAGGAACGTGAAAGCAGACACATCCCAGTTAAAAAGCAAAGATCCAAAATGAACAATAGGAACATTTATGGGAACATGTCAGGACCAAGATATTATGTGTGCCTCTGCACCCACGTGGGAACCTGGAAGAAGCTCTGGGTATTCGGAATTCAGCCTCGCATAGCCCCAGCCATTGTGGCCATTGGGCAGTGAACCCACAAATGAAAGACATCTCCATTTTTCTTTCTACCACTCCCTCTCTCTCTCCCCCCTTTCTCCTGTAACTCTGCCTTTCAAATAAATAATAAATCTTTTAAAACAATTAAGAATCTATTTGCATGTAATGGAACGATATCCAGCAATATAAAGCTAAAGTTGTATCACAATATGGAAGGAACTAGAGGTTACTATGTTAAACGAAATAAGCCAGCCTAAAAAGATAATTTCCATATGACTTCACCTGTATCAGTAAGCCAGAAATAATTTATCTAAAAACAGCTAAAATATAACTGTAGGCAACAAGAGGCTGGGGAGAAAGGGATGAGGGGGAAGAGATGATGAACATGTACTGATCACTGCTACACAGGACTAAGCGCATGTGCTGTTCTGCACAAAAGACAACAGACAACAATATACTATATGCTTTTATATAGATAGATTGCTTTCACCAAAAAGAAATTTTTAGTGTTTTAGGAAAGCATACCCAAACTTAAACAACATACACATTATCAAAGTATTAAAATATCACTTGCTACCCCATAAATACATAGCATTTTTGAAAAAATGGGACAGGTGTTTGGTAAAGATGTCAGCTGGGATTTTTGCATCCCATGTCAAAATGTCAGGGTTTGAGTTCTCATTCAGTTTACAATTCTAGCTTCCTGCTGAGAGGCAGTGGGTGGCAGCTCACACAATGTGATCCCTGCTACCTTTGCAGGAGACATGGATTGAGTTTCAGGTTCTGGTTGCAGCACCGCAGAACCTCAGCTGTTACAAGAGTTAACGGGATGATCCAGGAGATGGGAGATCCTTATTTGTACCCCTTTCCTTTCAAATAAATAAAACACACATTTTTAAAAAAAATCATCCAGACTGCCCAAAGACCAGGAGAAGTTGAGCAGGTGCATTTCTGCTGCCCTCTCAGGTGCCCAGCTCTGGAGCATATGTTAAACCCACAAGTGCCCTGGTGGTCTTGCATCTGCTTGCCCCATGAAAGTCTTACAATGTTGGCCGGCGCTGCAGCTCACTAGGCTGATCCTCCGCCTTGCGGCACCGGAACACCAGGTTCAAGTCCCGGTCGGGGCGCCAGATTCTGTCCTGGTTGCCCCTCTTCCAGGCCAGCTCTCTGCTGTGGCCAGGGAGTGCAGTGGAGGATAGCCCAAGTACTTGGGCCCTGCACCCCATGGGAGACCAGGAGAAGTACCTGGCTCCTGCCGTTGGATCAGCGCGGTGTGCCGGCCGCAGCGCGCTGGCCGCAGTGGCCATTGGAGGGTGAACCAACGGCAAAGGAAGACCTTTCTCTCTGTCTCTCACTGTCCACTCTGCCTGTCAAAAAAAAAAAAAAGAAAGTCTTACAATGTTAATCGTAAGAATGTTACCAGTCATGTATGTCATACAGATAAAGGTATAAATACACTTAAAAATAAAAGCATAGTGATGGAAAAAAAAAGCCTGTCCAAACTTTGGAAACTAAGCAAGATTAGGCTTCTCCTAATTATTGCTGGCAGGAAGCTGCTTGAGTAAAGCCAGCTCAGACAGCTGCTGAGACAGGTGCATGAGCAGAGGGAGAACTGGACTTCATGCTTGGCACAGTGGTCACCACCCTACATGGGTTCCAGGGCTACTGAGTCTGTAGGATCAGCAGCCACAGATCCAGTGACCCATATCCCTGGTCAGGGAAAGTCAGGGCAGAACTGGGTGGTGGATCACACCTATCACAGCCCGAATGAACCCAGGCTACTGATGGACACATGTTGTCCATAGCATTTGTATTAAACCCATGGTCTCACTGCTCTGTTTGATGGGCAAACTGAATGAGCAACAGTGTTTCCAGGGTATTTTACTTTTACGTCATTGAAATGGTGGACAGAAACTTTTCTACTCTAAGTGGATCTCTTCCGAATGAGTTTAATAAAATGAAGCAATGCAGAACTGCTCCAGACCAAACTGTCTGACACCTCTATGTTGGTAAAACAATCAGATCCGAAGCCTTGGGCTCCTCCAATGCCAGGGAATCCTGGCTCCCCACACACTGCTCCATCATCACCCAGCTTTCATTTTCCTTGTCCTGAGGGCTAAGGGATGGATTTCTCAGTGCATCAGCCACAGTGTGCACAGGTCCTGGCCTTGTGCAGAGGCGTGAGCTCCACCTCCTAAAGGGTCTGGACCATCACCAGGCAGGGGCTGTGTTTGTATCACACCTGGGGACACAGCAAGGGTCACTGGAGAATGAAAATGATGAAATGGGATACAAATGGAGCTGGCTGCCTTCATTGATACATGTAACAGAGGTTTTTACTACCATTTAGTCTGAGACAGAGCTTGACAATTCAAACTAAGATCAGACATCATGGAATATACAACTAATGCCACTTGCATATGAAGTTCAGTGTGTGTGACTGATGTCAGGACCTGGCTGCCCCTCGTACTGTAAGGAGAGGACCCTCAGCCCCACAGAACTCATGGAGGCCATCAGGGGTCTCTCAGTCCATGGCAGGTGCACTTCATTGTGTGGAACTGGTCGGGACTAAGGTGCTCTCAGATCAAACTGGGAGAACTTGGTGTTGTCGACAGGGCTGGGCCTCTTCTGACCTCACACAAGTGTCAGGGAACTCACAGCAAAGTTTGGAGCTCAGCTCTCCCCAGATTATTATGCAGGAGGGAATACAGGAACATGCAGAGACTGGTGACAGGTTCCACTGGGGACTCTGTGTTCTGTGTTCCTCAGCGGGAACTGTCCCCTTTCCCCAGACACCACAATGAAATCCACACAGAGATGAGCTCAGGACGACCTTCCCTTAAAACCCTGCAGGTTCCTCTCAGGTGCATGGATCCTCCCAGCTGTCGTCCTGGGTAAGTGCCTCTTTATTCCACAGATGGGCAGTCAGGGTGAGTGGGTTCCTAAGCAGGGTGTGATGGGGGACAAATTGTAGCTACAGGGAGGTTTGTGGCAGCCTCAGAAGAGACAGGGCTCCAACAGTCCTCCACAGCTCAGGAGTGTTCTCTGTGCAACACGATGGGGAAATCTCAGGATATTCTCAGTGTGCACTCAGCACAGTGTGGAGACAGCTGGGTGAGTGACTGTGTCTTCAGCCACTCCTCCTCATCCTCATGGAGACACTGTCAGTGGGTGGCCCTGGATGCATCCAAAATTGTCCTTTTACTTTATTGTAATTCTTAGAAAAGAGGAAAAGCTTTCAGCTCCTTTTCCTCTAAAAGAAAAATAAAACTTTTCTAACAGTTTTGGAGAATAAGTCACCTAAAATGATTTCCTCATATGATCCCAACTCTGTGGCACTGTAGGTCCTGCCATTTCTTAGAAAAACTCCTGAGAAACACTGAACAAACGTAGCTCCTGAGTCAGAATTAACAATGATGAGAGAAGCTGGCAAATCAGTTTTATACTATGATGGATTCATCCTTGTGAGGTTAAATTGTATTTAAGATATGAAACAAAGTAAAGCCTGCATAGTGGCTTGACCAGTTTGCATTCCCACCAACAGTGGGTTAGTGTCCCTTTTTCCCCACATCCTCGCCAGCATCTGTTGTTGGTAGATTTCTGTATGTGAGCCATTCTAACCGGGGTGAGGTGAAACCTCATTGTGGTTTTGATTTGCATTTCCCTGATTGCTAGTGACCTTGAACATTTTTCATGTGCCTGTTGGCCATTTGGATTTCCTCTTTTGAAAAATGTCTATTGAGGTCCTTGGCCCATCTCTTAAGTGGGTTGTTGGTTTTGTTTTTGTGGAGTTTCTTGATCTCTTTGTAGATTCTGGTTATTAACCCTTTATCTGTTGCATAGTTTGCAAATATTTTTTCCCATTCTGTCGGTTGTCTCTTCACTCTCCTGACTGTTTCTTTTGCAGTACAGAAACTTCTCAATTTGATGCAATCCCATTAGTTGATTTTGGCTTTGACTGTCTGTGCCTCCCGGGTCTTTTCCAGAAATTCTTTGCCTGTGCCAATATCTTGAAGGGTTTCTCCAATGTTCTCTAATAACTTAATGGTGTCAGGACGTAGATTTAGGTCTTTAATCCACGTTGAGTGGATTTTTGTGTAAGGTGTAAGGTAGGGGTCTTGCTTCATGCTTCTGCACGTGGAAATCCAGTTTTCCCAGCACCATTTATTGAATAGACTGTCCTTGCTCCAGGAATTAGTTTTAGATCCTTGATCAAATATAAGTTGGCTGTAGATGTTTGGGTTGATTTCTGGTGTTTCAATTCTGTTCCATTGGTCTATCCATCTGTTTCTGTACCAGTACCATGCTGTTTTGATTACAACTGCCCTGTAGTATGTCCTGAAGTCTGGTATTGTGATGCCTCCGGCTTTGTTTTTGTTGTACAAGATTGCTTTAGCTATTCGAGGAGATTCCTCAGAAACCTGAATATAACCCTACCGTTCGACCCAGCCATCCCACTCCTTGGAATTTACCCAAAGGAGTTTAAATTGATAAACAAAAAAGCGGTCTGCACCCTAATGTTTATTGCAGCACAATTCACAATAGCCAAGACCTGGAACCAACCTAAATGCCCATCAACGGTAGACTGGATAAAGAAATTATGGGATATGTATTCTTTAGAGTACTATACCGCAGTAAGAAACAACGAAATCCAGTCATTTGCAACAAAATGGAGGAATCTGGAACACATCATGCTGAGTGAAGTAAGCCAGTCCCAAAGGGACAAATACCATATGTTCTCCCTGATCGGTGACAACTGACTGAACACCAAAAAGGAAACCTCCTGAAGTGAAATGGACACTATGAGAAATGGTGACTTGATCAGCATAGCCCTGACTGCTAATGGACAACTTAATACATTATCCCTCATAGTATTTTTTTTTGTCTGTTCTACTTAATATGACTGGTTTAATTCTGTAATTATCACACAGTTATTCTTAAGTGTTGAAAATTAACTGAAATGTGATCCCTGTTAAACATAAGAGTGGGAATAAGAGAGGGAAGAGATGTATAATTTGGGGCATGCTCGGGCTGACTTGCCCCAATTGGTAGAGTTGGAAACATGCCAGGGGATTCCAATTCAATCCCATCAAGGTGGCATGTGCCAATGCCATCTCACTACTCCAAGTGATCAATTTCAGTTCACAATTGATCATAATGAAAGGACTAAGAGTCAAGGGAGCACATAAACAAGTCTAGTATCTGCTAACACCAACCGATAGAATAAATAAAGGGGAGAGTGATCCAACATGGGAAGTGAGATACTCAGCAGACTCATAGAATGGCAGATGTCCTAAATAGCACTCTGGCCTCAGAATCAGCCCTAAAGGCACTCGGATCTGGCTGAAAAGCCCATGAGAGTATTTCAGGCATGGAAAGCCAAGACACTCTGGCAAAAAGATCTCTGTGAGTGAGATCCCAGTGGAAAGAACAGGTCTTCAAAGAGGGAGGTGCCTTTCTCTGAAGGGAGGAGAGAACCTCCACTTTGACTATGACCGTGTCTAAACAAGATAAGAGTCGGAGAACTCAAGGGGCTTCCATAGCCTTGGAAACTCATAACTGGTGCATAGGGAGATTACTGATGCCATAAACAGGAGTGTCAATTGGTAAAGTCAACAACAGGAGTCACTGTGCACTTACTCCTCATGTAGGATCTCTGTCCTTAACGTGCTGTACACTGAGGCTTAATGCTATAACGAGTACTCAAACAGTATATTTCACTTTGTGTTTCTATGGGGGTGCAAACGACTGAAATCTTTACTTAATGTACACTAAACTGATCTTCTGTAAAAAAAAAAAAGAAAGAAATTATCAATTCCCAACTTGACTCTCACTGGGATTAAACATGACAATAGGTCTGATCTGATTTCATCATCATTTAAAAAAAATCATCTATTATTTTTCACTTTATGTTTCTGTGTGGGAGCAAACTGTTGAAATACTTACTTAAGGTATACTAAGCTGATCTTCTGTATATTAAGATAATCGAAAATGAATCTTGATGTGAATGGAAGGGGAGAGGGAGTGGGAAAGGGGAGGGTTGTGGGTGGGAGGGACGGTATGGGGGGGGAAGCCATTGTAACACATGAGTCGTACTTTGGAAATTTATATTCATTAAATAAAAGATAAAACAAAAACAAAGTAAAGCCTGCAAAAGGGAGCTTCAAAGAGTTCATATAATATTTGAATTAAAAGAAAAGTGTATTTTTATTTTTCTGGTTTTTTTTATTTGACACAGTTAGAGAATGAGAGAGAAAGATAGAGAAAGGTCTTCGTTCTGTTAGTTCACTCCCCAAATGGCTGCTACAGATGGCACTGCGCCAATCCAAAGCTAGGAGCCAGGTGCTTCCTCCTGGTCTCCCATGCAGATGCAATGGTCCACGCACTTTGGCCATCCTTCACTTCCCTCCTGGGCCACAGAAGAGAGCTGGACTGGAAGAGGAGCAACCAGGACTAGAACCTGGTGCCCATATGGGATGCCAGCGCTGCAGGCAGAGGTTAACCTAGTGAGCCACAGCGCTGGCCCCAGCATACAATTCAAAGTTTAAAAACGTTCCACAATGAATTCAATGTTTCAAGAAAATCATGTTTCAATTGTTTTTTGATGTTCCTCAAATGCTTCATATAACCAAAAAGAGAAATTTACAATTTTAATTTCATTGCAATCTTATAAAGTGTCACATTAAAATATTAATGTAATAAATGTCATAATTTAAAACACTGTCATATTTGGGGTATCGGGTGTAACAGATGCACAGTACACAGGGGAGTTTCATATTCATACAGGACAGACAGGGAAGACTGTTCTGTTTGCTTGATGGCAGCACAGGACCCTTAACATGCATAGAAAGGAGAATAGTGAGATACATATTGTCATGTTTTTTCCCTGAGCATATCATAGGATTAAAGCTTATCTTGCTACAAGTATGGAGAAGATCATTTCATTTATTTGATCATTTCTTTGAGAAAAAATGGTTAAATATTCTACATGCTACTATGCAGTTTCCATCATAGAAAACTAAAAATTTTCCAAGGTTTAAACCAAATTCCCACATGTTCTGGAATTCTTAAATGCTAAACACCAATTTTACTTAAACCCTTCTGCTACTCCTTAGCAACACAGATGATAGATTACAACACTGTAATTTGCTGTGGATGCAATTCAGCCTGACATTCTGATTTTCAGATGATACAGATGTGAAACATATTGGGCTTTTTAAACACTATGATATGCCTCAAACTTCTGTGATTGGAAGCAAAGTGGATGGGAACACTGCACAGGGGAGTCATCCATAGTAGCTCATGACCAAGTTCTCCAGCATACACTCAACACTTGGGTCCCAGGCACTCCCTGGCGTGTGGAAGACAGGAAGGCTCAGGCCCCTGTGCAGAACCTTCTAGAACCACCTTCTAGAACCACCTTCTTGTTGCAGGCAGAGGAAGTGTCTCATCAAATCTTCCTAGAAAGCAATTATCCATCTGCTTAGACTATGAACATAGTCACTACGGTTTCCACAGCCAGGTACACAGAGAGAAGGAACCGTGGAAAAGAGGGCGTTCAATGCCTGCTACTATGGTGCTCATGGCCCCCTGCTCCTCTAGGCAGGGACGGAGCTGGAAAGTTAGGAGAGGACGGCACTCTCTCAAGGTGAGCTCATGAGGAAAACCTCACAGGGACAGCCATGGCTGCAGTTTCCACAGAGAACACTGTTCCCCAGGCACAGTGCTTGTTCACACATTTACCTAATACACTGCACACACAGCATCTCTAGTAAGTGACACACTCACTCTAGTTACAGATGAGATGACCTGGGCTCATGTGTTCAGTGACACTTGAAGGTCACATGTTTAGCAAAACTCACATCAGAGATTCAAATTCAGAATCTATACTAACCAACCTTTGGTCTCTCATGTATTAAGAGAGTTTATTTGGAAACAAACAAAAATAAGTATCATAGCAGTGAGATAAAACTAAGTGGACACATGGATATACCATTGATTATTATTACATGTGCAGTCGGATTTCTGCTTTCCTAAAGTGCTCATTAGAAATCACCAAAAATTCTAGTACTCTTATTGTGTAATCAGAATTTTATCAGGATTTGCAGATTCAAGGGGAAACTCATTGCCCTCAACATTGAAAAAGTAAAAAGAAGGTAACACTCTGCAAGCACCTTTCACATAATGACAATTTCACTCTCCAGGTCCTGTGGGAGCTGAGCAGTGGGATACAATATCTAACCACAACCGGCAGGTGTGCAGCTGGAAACAGAGCGGCTACCAGGAGAGGGAGAGAAGGCTGCAGTAATCCAGGTTAAGAGTGTGCACCGGGATTGATCCACACTGATCCACAAGGGGGTACTGTGGTCGAGAATCATAAAGGTATTCATATTTGTGATAACTTTTCTTACTTTTTCCTCATTCACTAAATGCTTTTTCACTCTTCCCACAAAAGATGAGAACAATATACTTTTTAACTTTATTGCCATTAGAAATGCCTTTTTCTCTGAAGTCAGCATTGGGATCACAGCCAATGCCTTCCTTCTTCTCTTCCACGTCCTCTGGTTCTTTCTCAAGCACAGACCCAGGCCCACTGACATGACCATTGGGCACCTGGCCCTCATCCACCTGGTGATGCTCATCATTGTAGGGGTCATAGCTGCAGACGTCTATGCGACTCAGGAGTTATGGGACAACTTCACTTGTAGAGCTGTGATCTACTTGCACCAGGTGATGCGGGGCCTCTCCCTGGGCACCACCTGCCTGCTGAGCGTCCTCCAGGCCATCACCCTCAGCCCCAGGAGCTCCTATTTGGCAAAGTTCAGGCGCACAGCCTCACACCACATCATATGTGGGTTTCTCTTCCTGTGGGTCTTCAATTTGTCCATCAGCGCTCGTTTCTTTATCTCCACTATTGCCACCACAAATAGTACATCCAACAGTCTTATGTTTGTCTCCAAGTCCTGCTCTCTTAGGCCCCTGAACTACTTACCCAGGTATACTTTTTTTGTAACTTCTATCTTCAGGGATGTCTCCCTGCTAGGGCTCATGGCCCTCTCAAGTGGGTACATGGTGACCCTCCTGTGCAGGCACAAGAGGCGGTCCCAGCACCTTCACAGCACCAGCCTCTCTCCAAGAGCCTCCCCAGAGCACAGGGCCACCCAGACCATTCTGCTGCTCATGAGCATCTTTGTGCTCCTGTACTTGTTGGACTGCATCGTGTTCTCATTCTCAGGGATGTGGTGGAAAATTGATCCAGTTCACCTCTGTCTCCAGATGTTGGTGGGCAATGGCTATGCCACCATTGGACCTCTGGTGCTCATCAGTACTGAAAAACGAATGATCCAGCTTTTCAAATCCATGTGGGAGAAGGAAAGTAAGTGTTTACTTGTTCAGGAATAAACAACATGTCTCTTCATGAGCAAATACTTTGACTTGAAAGTGCTTAATGATCTCCTATAGAATCTGTTCTGTGGGTTCACTGAAATGTATGAAAATAAGGAGATTCAAAATGGTGGAATAGAGAGAAGCCACGTTGGCTTTATCCTCAGAAAAATTCCAGAAAAAAAGGACGGCATTCTCAGGGGACTGACTGGGAATGTTTGCAGTGGAGAATGGACAGAACAAACAGAGAATCCATGGAGCAGTGAGGAGAGTGGCAAACACGTGGCTGCCAGCCACTCCTGCCTATCTGCCAGTGGCGCACAGCTGAGACTTGCTGTCTGCACAGGGCAGGGTGAGGGGAGCCTCCCTGGTCCCTGCATTGGCAGCTTTGGGAAAGGTATGCAAGTTCCTCACTGGATGCAGGTCTGGCCTGGGGAGCCCATTTTAGTCTGGGTGACTACTTAGCCCTATGAAAGGATGTCATGGGGACCCTCTCCCCTCCCCCAGCAAACTGACAGAAACTATCTGCTTAAGTAGAGCTATAGCTGAGCTCAGTCCGCACTCGGGGAATAGCAGACAATTCCACCACTGCTATAGTACCCCAGGCTAGGGACAGGGCACCTTCATGGTGGAGACTGGACCCCTACACCCTGTGACTGTGGGGTTCTGGGTATAGGCCATCAAGTATAGAGGGGCATGGGTGACAGCTTGCTTCCTGTGCACCTGACTGGTCTGTGTATGGAACAATTGTAAAGTCTATTAGCATAATTGACAGTTTGAGATTGGATTATTGTTATAGCTGTTGTCAATATCCTTGAGGAACAGTGGTTTTAGTACTTACTACTTCCTCGGTTCTTTATTTAGTAGAGGGGTAAGCTGGTGATCACAAAATAAACTGAAAGTCTATCACTGTAAAAATTCAAAGAAAAGTAAGAAAGGAAGGAGAAGGGAGGGTGTGAACATGGCGGGAGGGAGGGTAGAGTGGGAAGCAGCATTATGCTCAGGTATCTGTATAAATGGAATCTGTTTACCTCAAATAAATAAAAATTTAAAGAAATTCTGAAAAGGATGCAGATATTAAATAATGACAAAAGTGAAGTATCCAGTAATTCAAACAGAAAATACAGTAGAAAGTCTTAACAACGACCTGGTGAAACAGAAAAAAGAATACTGGATCTAGATCAGTATTCTGAAATATCAGACAAAAAAAAAAAGAAGAAACTATCAGAAGGACTGAGAACGGTGTTTGGCAAATCTGAGATACCATAAAATATTCAAGTCTTAGGAGTCCCCAATAATGGAAAAACAAGAAAATACAATCCTAAACTCATATAAAAACACAAAAGACCCCAAACAGCTGAAAAAAATCCTAAGCAATAAGAACAGCTGGAGGCATCGCAATAGCAGATTTCAACACATAGTACAGAGCCATTATAGTCAAAATAGTCTGGTATTGGCACAACAATAGACATTTAGACAAATAGAAAAGAAGAGATACCTCCACTAATCTTTGAACTGAATGAATGCAAACCATTCCTTGCAGGCCAGCACTTTGGCCTAATGGGTAAAGCTGCCACCTTCAGTGCTGGCATACCATATATGCTCCCCATATGTGAGCCAGTTTGAGCCCCAGCTGCTCCAATTCCGATCCAGCTTTGTACAACAGCCTGGGAATGCAGAAGATGGCACAAGTACTTGGGCACCTGAGAGACCAGGTAGAAGCTCCTGGCTTCAGATTGACTCAGCTCTGGCCGTTGCAGCCATCTGGGGAGTGAACCAGCAGATGTAAGTCCTCTCTCTCTCTGTAACTTTGCCTTTCAAATACATAAATTAATGTTTAAAACAAAAACCAAGGGAAAAAAACCATCCCCTGGAGAAAGGACAGTCACCTCAACGAATAGTGCTAGGAAAATTGGATTTCTAGATACAGAAGTTTATTTTTGTTAAAGATTTTATTTATTTGAGAGTCAGAGTTACAGAAAGTGAGAGGGAGAGACAGACAAAGGTCTTCCTTCTGCTGTTTGACTCCCCACATGGCTGCAATAGCCAGAGCTGCACTGAAGGGAAAGCCCAGAGCTTCCTCCAGGTCTCCTATGTGAGTGCAGAGGCCCAAGCACCTGGGCCGTCTTCCACTGCTTAATTGGGCCATAGCAGAGAGCTGGATGGGAAGATTATTAGCAGGATGAGATCCAGTACCCATATGGAAGCCAGCACCAAAGGCGGAGGATTAACCTACTGTGCTACAGCACCAAGCCCTGGTACAGAAATTTTAAACAAGACCCCTACTTCACATCCTAAATGAAAATCAACTCACAGTTGATAAAGGTTCTAAACTTAAGACTTGAAACTCTGAAAATGCTGGAGAAAAACACAGAGGAAATGCAAAAATACATGGCCATACACCGAGTTTTTTTTTTTAATAAGCCCCCAGAAGCACAAGCAATAAATGCTCAGAGACAAATAAGATCACCTAAGCTAAAAAACTTCCACACAGCACAGGAAGCAATTGACAAAGAGGCAACATAATCCACAGAGAAAACATTTGCAGAGTATGCATCCAAAAAAGGATTAATATCTGGAATATATAAGCTCAAGAAACTCAAGATCAACAAAGGAAATTATTTAAGAAGCGGGGCGGGGGGCAACGACATTTATAGGCATCTTCTCACAAGATGAAATGCAAATGGGCAACAGATACCTTAGAAATGCTCAAGATCAGTAGCCATCAAGGAAATACACATTAAACTACCATGAAGTATCCCCTCACCCCAGTTGGAATGAATACAACCTACAATAAAATTAAAGAAATGCCAATGAGAATGGGGAAGAAAAGAAAAGGTATCCTGATACTCTGTAGGTTACAAACTGGTACAAGCTTTATGGCAGGCACTGTGATGATTACCCAGAAAACTAAAAATAGATCTGCCATATACCCAGCTATCCCACCCCTGGGAACATACCTATATTATGAAATCAGCATATGAAAAAGTGATTGGCACTCCCATGTTTACAGCACCTCAGTTCACAATAGCTAAGATATGAAATCAGCCTACATGTCCATCAATTAATGACTGGGTAAACACACACACACACACACACACACACACACCCAAGATGGAACATTACTCAGCTAGAAAAAGGAATGGAAGACTAACATTTGCAGGAAAATGTATTCCACTGGACATAGTGATGCTAAGAGAAGTCAGATCCCAAAAGGCAAGTATCGTGTGCATTCTATTATTTCTGATAGTTAATATATATAGGGCCCAAATCTCAAAGATGGCAGAATAGGGAGGGACCACACTGATAGTGCAGGGAAAGATAGTTTAATAAAAGTGGAGATCCTGTAGTTTCAGGGAAGAGCTAGGGGAAAAAACTGCAGAGGAAACTCTTCTGGAACTAGTGGGACACGGTGGACCTACGAGGAGGGCACAGGCGCCCACGGCTCAGGACCCCAGCCACCGAGTCTACGTACCAGTGCTGGAGAGGGAGGTGAGGCAAAACCTCAGTAGCCTGAGACACTGGCAGGGAAATGGCAGGAAGAGCCTAGGGGGAACGAGGCTTGAAGCCCCGGGTAGGAAAGTTCACCAGGCAAACTAGAGGAGAGAAAAAAAGGGACCGGTATGGACACGATTCTCTCTCTCCACTCACCTTACAAAGGCAAGCAAGACAAAGAGCAGGCACCATTTTGGACATATGTAAAAGCTGCGCCACCTCTGTGCTGCACCTACCTTCAGCCAAGCAGAAAAATCTGACTCTGGTGGGGAAAAATAACAGCAGGTTAAAATTTAGTGGATGTGTGGAGCTAATGAACTAAGACTGTGGAAAAAAAACCTGAGGGTGTGGAAGAGAACTCATGGAGTGCCTGAGACGCCACAAACTCGGCAACCTTGGCAACCCGGTGGGAGACTACAGGGGAATTTAAGCTTACACTGAGGACTGACAGATTCTTTGTGTGGTCCTTGGGACAGAGCAGATGAACATTATACCCACAGGGGCCAGACCTCAGACACTGACTGCCTTCAACTCTGCTCAGCTGTGTGGAATTACTTCCCTTCTGTATAAAAGAGAGAAAGAGAGAGAGAGAGAGAGAGAGAGAGAGAGAGATTGATTGATTTATCACACCTAACCTGGGTGTGTCACCTTTGACACACCTTTAACCCTGAAGAACCAAACAGAGCTCTCAGGCCACACCCATCACAAGCCTCTAAGGATCCATCAAAATAGACAGTCCACTTAATCTAGAGTCACAGTATAACGAGCAAAACCAACACAGCCAGAAAATGCCAAGCAACAAATGCAGAAACCAAGGAAACAAGAACAAGGAAGATATTATGATGCCCCAAATGAACAAGACACCTCAATTCTAGATTATGAAGATGATGAGAGAAAAGAAATGCAACATACGGATTTCAAAAATTTTATAAGAACATCAAGAAGTTCTAAAAACAAATTCTTGAACTGCAGAAATCATTACTAGACAGTATAGAAAATCTCTCTCATGAAAAGGAAATCTTAAGGAGGAATCAAAATGAAATGAACAAACTAGTACAACATGAAATTGTGATAGTGAAGAGAAATCAAAATGAAATGAAGAATTCAATAGATCAAATGACAACCACATCAGAGAGCCTTAAAAACAGAATCAGTGAAGCAGAAGAGAGAATATCGGACTTAGAAGATGGAGCACAGGAAAGTATACAGTCAAACCAAAGAAAAGAAGTGGAATTTAAAAATCTAAAAAATATTGTCGGGAGGCTGGTGCCACGGCTCACTAGTCTAATCCTCCACCTGCAGCACCAGCCCCCAAAGTTCTAGTCCTGGTTGGGGCGCCGGTCCTGTCCCAGATGCTCCTCTTCCAGTCCAGCTCTCTGCTGTGGCCAAGGAATGCAATGGAAGATGTCCAAGTTCCTTGGGCCCTGCAACCACACGGGAGACTAGGAGGAAGCACCTGCCTCCTGACTCCAGGCCGGTGCAGTGTGCCGGCCACAGTGCACCAGCCGTAGCAGCCACTTTGGGGGTGAACCAACATAAAAAGGAAGACCTTTTCTCTCTCCCTCTCTCTCTCTTTCACTGCCTAACTCTGCCTATCAAAAAAAAAATTAAAAAAATATTGTCGGGAATCTACAGGATACTATTAAAAAAAAACAAACATTTGGGTTCTAGGAGTTCCTGAAGGCATGGAGAGTGAGAAAGGATTAGAAGGCCTTTTTAGTGAGTTACTAGGAG